ACTTCGAACTCTATACACAGTTTCAAATGGTTGGTAGAGGATGACAGTTGTCACACCCGTAAGGTTTCAAACGTAACATTTCATTCTCACACCTAATCATATTTCCTTTCTTATTTCTTTACTATTGATTAACAGTTGCACCTATTTAAGGCGGATGTATGATTGTAGTCATTTTACAGAGAACCTGCTTCTATCAATTACTAAGTGCAGTGCGCCTAGCCCCGAACATTCTGTAGTTTAAAGTTTAAAGTTGACTTCTGATCATGCGATTGCATTGTGAAAAAAACGTTGTGGAATCGATCAGAAAAGGTTGATCTTCTAACATATAAGTATTAGTGTGTACTGCAAGGTTCTGGAATCATCAAAACGATAAGAAATTTGGCCCAGTCTTGACCGGTCGATTTGTTCGTGATGGTGTCGTCTGGGGGTCCGTTGAGTTTTATTCCCACTATTTCCCACCAATGTTAGTTTCGGACCTGTTTAATAGTTGCCTATTCATATTCGTAGTTTATTTATTTCGTACTTTCTGTCACTTGATTGTTTTCATGATCACAGTTGTATTTTGGCTCATAAGCATTCGTCAATTCCATGTTATGACTGTAATTTAATTGATCCAATTAAACATTGATATTTTTTCAAAAAGATTTTAAATATACATGTATATATATATATATATATATATATAATATTTAATGACCTTTTACTTTGCATTCACAGACTGTTCCTCGGATCCTTGTCTAGAGAATGCTCCTTGTGTCAATGCTACTTTGGGATACTACTGTCAATGTCCAGTTGTTCCTGTTTCAACATCAGCTGAAACTGTTTACTCTGGACAGAACTGTGATGAATCATATATTGGTAAGAAAATACTCAGAAATACCTAGTAAGGGTCAGTAGTTTTCTTGCGATATCTGTAGCCTTAAACCTAAGAGTAGTAACTTTTTGCTAAATATCGATTTAATTATTTGAAACAGGGTGGCCTACATGAAGATTGTCATCTCCCATCCCGAGCATGACAGGATTGCACACAATCTCCACAAGTAGAAGTGCAGAGAGAAAGGTTCTTGAATTAACTTAACGACCATATCCGAATTGAACTATGAAATGGATGAATTATGTATCAACGGAAAGCATATTAGCCATTGATAAAAATAATATCAATTATATGCCATGTTAGAGGAGTATTTAAAATGTCCCAGCTTTCTGAAAAATCTAAATCTAAATATTTGAAAGACCTAAAATCCTGCTGTCGATTTGATGACATCATCTTAATGTGGAGCATATTCACAGTGACTTTGCATTAATTAAGCACGGCTCATCGCCTCAGCTTTATGTATAAGGTGAACCGATCGGGTCCACATTTTATGTCGTCTCTGTAACTTCAGGAAATTGACCCCTGTTGATCCGTTATTGGGAAGGAGTGCAAAAAATGAGGTTTTTAATTTGCTTGTGTGCATTAATGAAAGGGATTTGTATTCCTTTATACATGTATTTGTATTCTACATTCATTCAGTTGTCCATTTAAATTAAGTTGTATTTTTATCGGATAGGGTCTTTAAGAACTTTCTGAAGAAGTCTGATGAGGACGAAAGCTTGACACAGAGATAGCGTACGTCATCAGTTGCCAGTTGCCTGTATATATTATATCCCTTTTTTTAATATTTCGTTTAAATTCTTCGCAGGGAGCGCTGGATGCAATATGAATTACTACGACAGTGAAGGGAATATCACGAGTCCCGGTTACCCAAATGTTTACCAAGTTCGTCAAGATTGCTACTCTCATCTGAAAATCGCAGATGCAACGCAAATCACGCTCATCCTAGAGGAATTCAATTTAGAACCACAGGTCAAGGACATCCTCATTTTTGGAAAAGGTCCCGCAATCTATGAAGTAGATCCCATGCAACCGGACATTTATGAACTTGGTGGAGAGCGCGCAAGCTTACCTCTGAGCGAAAGGACATATGTATTCAATGACACAAACCAAATCTTCTTCTACTTCTACTCGGACAAAAACGTAGTCTTTCCGGGTTATCGCATTTCTTATACGGCTGGTAAGAAAAAACTTCTCGATAATTTTTGTATCTGCATTAATTTTTGTAAACGATTTGTATTTATAGTTTTTATCCTTATCGGTGAAATGAGAATGGTTCTTTGATCCATGCAGGGCCCATGAATGTATTCTTAATATTAATATTAGTAATGTAAATTTATTGTGATAATTTCACGTTATGTTAAACGATACGAATTCCTGTGTCTTTTTAAAAATCTTTAATGTACAGAAATGATGCTCAGTATTATTTCAAATTTATGTCAATAAGTGTACAGGGACAATATTCAGTATCTGCCTTATAATACTCTTCAGTGTGGTCGATGTAAGATGAAGTATCGTTTACTTTCATTGCCTAAAAAATTGAAGGATGACAGCGGTTTGGTCAGGGTAATTAATTTCATCTTACAGCCAGTATGGTTGTAAATAAATAGGTAAGCAACCAGGAGATATGCAGTCCCTTCCGAGGGAATCGCAGTTCTCCTAATGGACTATCACGCATCGTTTAGGTGTTGACAATTATTACACCGTCCACTCGTAAAGTATTTTTTACAAACAAAATCTACTTTATTATGTAACACAACACGATTAGAACGACGAAATAAGATTACTAGAAAGAGAGATAAATGAATTGATAATATAATAAATTAATGAAATAATAGGTACATATTAAATTGTAGCTCTCCTGTTTGTATAAGCATACATTTTATAATGCATTAAGAATTCACATTAATAAATGTTATTCTTACTTCATACCTTCACTCAAGATGTTGATTCGTGTTCGTCTGGACCGTGTCTAAATGACGCAACGTGTATGGATGAATACTATGACTACTCATGTATTTGTGCGCCTGGGTATGAGGGTAGAAACTGTGAAAACGGTCAGTATAATAAACAGTTATCCTCATCATTTGCATTTGTAATTTATATCTAATTTGTGTGTTATGATGGCTACATGGATAATATACAATGTGTTTACAAGGTTGTAGGATCAAACATAGCAAGGTCGAGGTCTGCTTCTTTTCGAGTAACCACACGAGCCTGGTAACGTGGAGGACGCATGGTCTGCATGGCCTTGGCGTTAAAACCATCTGGCATGTTTATTCGGTAAAATTTTAACCAATTTGGAATAGATTTTACCCAAGTCGAGTACAACTTATCCAACACTAAGTGACATTTTACCCATCTAACATGCACGTTCCCTTTTCAACCAAAATTGGGTGATACTTAGTCGAACTGTAAATATAACAATTCCCACTAGGATAATAATAATTGTAATGATAAGAGTAGTAGTAATAGTAGTAGTAGTAGTAGTAGTAGTAGTAGTAGTAGTAGTAGTAGTAGTAGTAATTCAAATAATATTATCATTACTTAAAATAAACCGTTCTTGTATAGCACATATCATATTATGATAGAACGGACCTATGCCCTTCCACAGAAGTTTGGAAATGAATACTCTCAGTTCTGGCTCTGGCAGCCGTAATAAGCGCACAATGCATTTCAAGAATTAAATCCTGCCAGGTGCTCTTTTAACACCTAACGGAGGTTGGTAAATGTAGATTAATGTATTGAAAATAGACGTGAGAGCCGAGCTGTGATTCGAACCCTCAACCCTTGATCGAGAGTCATGTGAAATGAACCACAAATGAACCACGGCACCTCCACAAGTAGATAAGTAGAGTATGCCTTGTCAGGTGACCTCTTATGAACAAGTTTTGTTGCATGATCCTTTGTATGCTGAGAAAACGTTAACCATATTCAAGTGTTCCCTACTTTGGATAAATATGCCCTCCATAAACATAAATCACGCATGTTTTATTCCCAGATATCAATGAATGTGGCTCCATGCCGTGCGTCAATGGTGGGAATTGCATGGATCTTGTTAATGGATATTTCTGCGAATGCATTCCAGGATTCAGTGGTGATTACTGTGAAATTAGTAAGTAGGCCATATTTGTTGCCCAGGAGGACCCTCGAGTAGTCCCAAATGGATTATACGACATACGCCCTAGTGAAAATTGCTCTGTTACCCCTCTTTGTTAAACATGTTATTTATTGTCATAACAGATGACAATTTGGACAAGTCATTGGTTAATGTCTGGCAAAGCTGGCTGTGTTTGCGTGAAGTTAGTGTTGAAAGAAATATCTTCCCATGCATTAAAGATAGGTGTTAATTATGCGCAATTTACGACAATTTTTGTCAATTCCCACAAGTTTTCCTACCATAAAAAATGACATCGTTTTGAAAATACGGACCCTGATTTTTACAACTGCTCCAATAGCCATTGTCAGGCTTTTATACATTTAAAAGAAATAGACCCACTTACAACATGTTGGTCTCGAGCGCCGGGTAAATGTAGACCCTTTAAAAGTCCCACTAGAAAATTTGGACTTCAAAATACAGGTAAAGTCACTCATTTGGGTAGTATTTTAGATCACTCTCTTGATAAAGGATATAGGTGGTGTACATGTACTTTGGCTGGAACTTACTGCTTTGAAGTGCTTTCATTTCAACAGCCTAGTATGTATCAAAGGAAAACATTAAATTTTACTCAGCATCTCGAGAGAGTTATGAGTGTATCGTCGTTTGGATTTAAGACACCAACAAAAACTGTATAGTAACATCAATAAGCACCTCGAAGGAGAATAATTCATCATTATCTTTCTTAATATTTTTTGATACACCCCCTCCCCCGAAAAAAGAAGAAAATCCGGTTGCTTTCAATGACTTACCAAAAATTATCACAGAATTACTTACACTAACATTGGGAAGCGTATCATGGAGCCAAAACAATGCGTGAATATTAGTAAAAGAACGCGTATGAAAATAAAATAGTCTATCAATATTTGTGTGTATCAGTTTGTCATTTTCTTCTTTAAATTATTTTTTCAACCACTTTCTCTTTGTAGATAGCACTATCTCTGCATCCCAATTTGTTTTTCATTTACTATGGTATCCTTATCTATATCTGACTCACCCCCTCCAAACATCCTCATTCCTGCTCTTAACATGGTGTTGGTTTTGTTTTGGCAAACAGATGACGATGAATGTATGGATGCTCCGTGTCGGAATGGGGGTACGTGTACTGATGGTATAGCAGGATACTGGTGTACCTGTGCACCAGGATGGGACGATCCCAATTGTCAGACAAGTACGTACATGCATTAAAATTACTTTATTCCTTTTTAGGGTGTAAATATCCAGTGATATATGAAAGGATGTGATTTTTAGGGTACCCCCCCCCCTCCGAAATTTAAGAACTGAACTTCGCGAAACTATTATTATGTTAGATTTAAAATGAACTTTTGACAGGCCGCCCATACCACACGGATGTGAGGGCATCAAATAAAATCATTAATTCTGCAACAAAACCGATTTCATTCATTTACATCGTCCTAAGTAACGGCCTTTCAGCTAGATTTTCTCCTCATAAATCTGTAACGTGTTTTAAAAAAAAAAAAAAACATAAATGCGTTCTGGGCCTTATGACATTACTGGTTTATATGCGTTCTTGCTGAAGTATATGGTGATCTTTGACAACTTTTATAGTGTTTTTGTTGTTGTTGAACAAAATAACAAAATGGGAACTTTTCCCTAACTCCACTCCTATGGTTGGCCTACTTGGGTACATTAAGGGGAATCCAATCGTGATAACAAGTTGCTCTGAAGAAATGCTGAAAACCCGTGAACCGTTCTTGTAAAATATTGAACGGAACCCTACATACAACGAGAACCTGGGCGTAGTAACAACGAACTATTAAACTAGTATATACTTTATTTATTTGTATGCTGATTTAAAGGGTTCCGGTAAATTTGTCTTAGATCCTTTAAAGGATGCTGCAATGATAAATATAAACATTTAGGTCAGTCAGTAACCCCATGACTTTAACAAGCCGATCGCCTGTCTAATTATCAAGATATTTATGATTAAAAATCGAAATCAAATTTTGCATTTGCCAAACGGTTTTCATAACACTACAGTCTATTTGGGAAAACGAGTATGGTAGAACCAGTCACTCAAAGGTTTTTACTTTTTTAAGGCACTTCTTGATCATTTTGAAGCGCATTTTTTTTTTTTTTAAGGATTTTAATATAACACCATATCACAGACACTAATAACATGTAGGGCCGTGCATCTCAGATTTCACATTGTTAAACGATCCCTTTAAGCATCATTCATCCAATCGGATACCTGAAAAATAGGTATAGTTGTAGTTGGGACACACAAGTCCATTTCATGCAACATAAAATCAGGCCAATCTTGCCTCAACTGAAACATTATTAGATGCACAGTTTGTTTATAATTATGTTTCTTAGTTTTGTTTGTTGGCTAGAATATGTTCATGTTAGACATCAACGATTGTGCGACCGCCCCTTCTCAAATAAACATATTGATAGATAGGTACCAAAAAAATGCTACAACAACAAATAAACAAAACAAAAAAATGCAAAATTCTCGTTTTCCCGGTGTGAGGAATATTGTGCATATTCTTGTCAAAAGTGATCATTAGTTTGACACATATTATACAATTGTGTATATTCAAGCGTAATCAATTAGATACCAATCCTCATGCTGGAAAACGTTTAGGGTGGAATGTTCAGCATTACTAATTTTTACATTTTGTTTCACTTCTTTTCACTATCCAGATATTAACGAGTGTCTTTCCAACCCTTGTGAGAACGGAGGTACACGTACAGATGAAACTAACATGTACACATGTACATGTGAAGCAGGATACACGGGCGACGAATGTCAAACAAGTAAGTGTTTCCTCCTTTGATATTTGAGGATTTACTCCGAATTTCAGTTCAAATAGATAGTTGAGTTCAGTGAAAAGTGAAAAGTGATTTGTGATTTTTGTTTTCATTCTTTGTATGTTAGTATGGAAAGATGTCATAGAGCAAATGTCCTCTTACTGACAAGGGTGGCTCTTCAAATGCCCATATATTCAAAATATGAAAAGGGATAGCTTTGAGTATCTTCATGAAACTATGAAAACTGTGTTTTTTTTTTCTTACATTCTTAATTCACACTTTTTCATTGAGGTCTGATATAACGGAATCCTCAAAGTCAGAATAAAGTATTTAGTACCATCTTCCTGAAAATCACAGAGAAAATGAGAAATATTTGTGCAGTATTTACTTTTTTGCAGAATAAAGTAAATATGTACCAATATAGCCGGATCTGCATAGATTTCCAAGGAGAAAAGGAGTTGTGTTTATGTGCAAGGCTTTCGAATGACAAAGAAGAAGCAAATTCTGCATATATCTAATCATGAACCAAGAGACCGATTTCATGTCCTTCTTCTCTTGATCTGTTCCAGACATCAACGAGTGTATGAGTGCACCGTGTCAAAATGGTGGTGTTTGCGTGGACGGGGTCAACAGTTATTTCTGCTTATGCACAGGCACCGGTTTCGACGGAACCCACTGCGAAAACAGTATGTACCAACTTTGTTTTACTTAAAAACCATATTAATACAAAGATTGCTTAAAGTAATATTAATAATGATATTGATAATAATATTAATGATGATCATCATAATATGATAATAATAAAAATGATAACAATAATAATAATACTCATAATAAAATAATAATATTAATAGCAATAATAATAATACTTATAATAATAATAGCAATAATAATAATAATGATCACAATATTAATCATAACAACAATAATAATGATAAAATTATCAAAATTTGTTTGTCCATGGCAGCCTTATCAGCATAAAAGCTGTTCTAGCTGGGGCCGTACAAGACTATTATTACCATCAATTGTCAGGTACCCACTTACACCTGAGTGAAGAGTGGCGAATGTGGATTAATGCCTCGCCGAACGATGTTAGTATCGGGCTTGAATTCGAACCCTCAACCCTTAGATTGAGATTCAAGTGAATCAACCAATATACTTAGACTTCTGTAGAATATTTCTTTTAATCCTGTGGTGTACGTCAACATCACTCCATCCAAACCCTTTTAATAGATCATTATGGGATTCAGCGTAAGATTATTGCGCAAAAATATCAGTATAGGGGACAGCTGGTTATACCAGCATTCCTTGTATTAGATGACCTGTATTGGCTCGCTACTGTTCATATAACATTTGATCTGATTTGATGTTTATTATACATCAACGTATTAACAATGTTATACATTTAGACGTATGAAATCACATGGTGTATACAGAAATAAGTCGTCTTAAGAATAAGCTAAATTTTCTACTTATCTATTGTAAGTTATTGAAAACAAATAGCCTCCAACAAAGCTTTGAGTAATATGAAACCAAAAATACATTTTCCTAGGTAAGTGATGAATATAATACATTCACATCATTTACAGAAAAAATAGATCCTACCAAAACAAACAAACAAAGAAAACGAACAAACCCAAAGAATTAAGCAAAAAACAAAGCAACATGTAATTTTCTGACGGTTTTCTGGAACGAACACTTTACACGCCGCGTAAATTTGTTATTTTGTTATTTTGCCAACATAGTTTGAGGAAAGATCACGATAAACCTTCTTTTTAAAAATTGGTTTGCTGTACGAATGATTGTTCTGATATTTTTAATTTATTTGATCTCATTTGCCTTAATATTTATCCATTCTTGTGAAAAATTATATTTGTGGAGGAGTTTTTGTTCTTTTTAAGTCTAAGGCATTTATTTAAAAATGTATATCATATCGAATGTTAAATTATGATGTATTGTATACGTATCTATTTGTAAAAATGCATATTATTTCAACTTGAAATGAATAAAATACTTGAATTTAAATGATTCATGGACAATACAGGCTCCGATATTATATGTAGAGCTTAATTTATATGGATTTAAACAAAAATTGTAGAATAGTGAAGATTTATAATGTGTTTTCAGTCATTTGGGATGGATTTATGGAAGACCGTATCCGACCAAAAAATAAGTTACCTTACCTAATGTGACTTTCCTACTCTCTTCACCTAGATATTGATGACTGTGTTAATGGCCCGTGTTTGAATGGCGGAGCATGTATGGATGGGATCAATGATTACAGTTGTACTTGCGAGCCTGGATTCGTCGGAGAAAACTGTCAAATAAGTAAGTATGTTTGGTGTATGCATGTGTGTTTTCTTTGATATACTGCATGTAAAGATACTAGGAATATGATAATTTCTAGTTACTTACTGCTGGACAATATATATGTATATATCTATGTGTTATATATGTGTGTGTGTGTGTGGGTCTGTCAACATTCAGTTTAATCTATGGGGATCAGTCGAATGACTCACAGGATTGTCGAACATTTGAGCTGTTACATTATGTAATTGGCTAAATAGCTTTACATATAATACCTGAATCTTGGCTTATAGTTTTTGTCTCTCAAGCCAATAGGTGAACGCTGATGTAAATAATAAGCGCGTGCTTCTCTTATAACAACCCCACTCTTCTCTTATATTTTCACTATCAAATAGACTTCAACGAGTGTGGAAGCACACACTGTCAGAACGGCGGAGAATGCATGGATGAAATCAACAGCTACACGTGTGACTGTATGGATGGATGGACCGGTCCGTTATGTAATGAAAGTGAGTATCCAAAACTCTAGGAATCATCTCACCGATATATTCTTGTGATATGAAGCTCTCATATGAAGTTTAAATATAAAGCTGAGTACTGGCCATGTAATCACATTTTGATAGAAACTGTTCTGGAAGCTATGGGAAATGTTGCTTATGTAGTACATAAAAATTGGTATGTAATGTGGAGTTTCGAAATGATAAAAAGGATAAGAAACTGACTCCGTCTTATTGTTGATGGCATGCACCGCACGAACAAAAAAGATATATGGGACTACGCACAGGTGTTTAGACCAACATTTTTAGCTATCTTTTGTCTATCTCGATTCATAAGGAATTTAATTGGCATCCTTTTCATAATGCTTTTTTTATTACCATGACTATGAAATGCTTCAAAAGCTGAACTATAAAGGAAGAAATAACTTGTAAGTTACATCACCAAACAGATGAACCTCTTCAACGATTGAATGAGAAATATATTATCATATCCGATTGATACACGTCTGTATACAAAAATCACTCAAATACGGTGGTGTAGAAAAGGGCTATATCTGAACGGACATCTGCTTTTCAGTTTGCATTCCCCCTCTTCCATTACTCTCGGGTTTTATTTTTCGTTATCGCGAGTAGATTTGAAGAGACAAAAGCACATAGATAATAATGAAAATGTACGTTTTATATGTCTACTATACTTGACATGTAAGCAACCAAAAGATGGATTCGTGAACCATACCATGATCAGGAGATGTATGAGTCGTGTTCACAACTTAAGGGAAGGTACGATTACATCACTGGTTTTGCACTCCTATCCAACCTTCCTGAACGAATGTCCTTCTTGGTTATGGCTATCACTGGGATGCCCCGATTGTATTTCTACCTTCTTTTGATTTTGTTCTCTCTCTCTTTGCCACGAAATTAAATGGTTGGATAAATAAATCTACATTTCGCTTTCTCTACAGACATTGACGAATGTGCTAGTACTCCTTGTTCTAATGGTGGAACGTGTGTTGACGGAATTAACGAATTCAGCTGCCAGTGTGCTCCTGGGTGGACCAATCTTACGTGTGAAACTAGTAGGTCATTTTATAGTTACAAGAAGCACCAGGGAACAGTCAAGCTAGACAGGGCGTAAAAACTAACTTGGGATCACTATATTTATTTATTTAGTTCTCTATTTATTATTCATTCATTTATTCATCTTTTTATTGGGGTTGTTTTCTTGTCATGGAACTTTGCAGACATGCCCAGCGACCCAAAACACGACTACTAGGGAACGAGTTTTCAGCAACTTATTTCCACCACTGCATATTATTCTGTCGCTCTCCAACATTAAGCCGCCTTTCCGAACAGTAATACAATTATCTAAGAGCAGTCTCTCAAATGTAAATCTTCCATCTTCATCGCAATGAAGAAAGATATAAGTGTAATCATTTGCGCAAACTGTCGTCTTTAGAAGAATTAAATCTTGGTTTTGGAAAGATGAAACAATTTACAATTAACAATTACATAATATTATTTGTCTTTTCAGATATCGATGAGTGCGAGAGTGACCCGTGTCAAAATGGCGGTACGTGCGTAGATGAGGTAAATAGCTACACATGCATGTGTCCCGTTGGTACGAAAGGTACAAACTGCGAGACACGTAAGTACAATATTCCTCTGTGTTCAACAATACATGGTATCCACAGCAAGTGACATTTATCCAAACATTTACATAATGTGTCTTAGCATTTCACAATCCTTACAAGGAGCCACTACCACAGTCTTTCCAAGGTGAATCACGAACGGCATATTCAAAAGTATTTTTTCAGTCTCATCTGCGTTTTGATATTAGGCAACTGTTTACAACTGATCTGCTAATCCCCACATTGGATTGGATGTTTATCTTTTTGATTTTACAATGAACTGCGATCATTGGGTAATAAGCATAGAGGTATAAGCAACTAATTGTTTCTGTACATTGATAATAAGTTCTTCGTCAGTTTATCATACAATTCGTTTGTAAGTATGATTACAAGTGTTATTCTTCCTTCTGAAGTTACATCCGCTTCAATAATCATATAATATATTATAACTTATAATTATTAGGTACTTCTACAACATTAGAGCTTCCTATCAACCATTTATCAACTTGATAAGATATCGAACTTTACGGAATGAAATAAAAGGTTGTGTTTTTTTTGTGTGTTTTTTTTTTGGGGGGTCGGTTATTTTGATGTCCATTTTTTATGATTTTGATGAATGGTTGATCGGAAAATCAACTGTTGTGAAAGTACCTAATTTTAGTTTAAACACCATATGATTTAATTTGTAAATTTCTTATTAAATTGTAAACAATATTATTGTTTTACCAAAATAAAATTTCTCAGATAACGTTTGGAATGGACAGCCTGTCGAGGTGCAACGAGATGACACTTCATGACCATTTGTACATGCGTCAACACCACTGTCTGTGGCAACAATGGACTAGGGGTTCATTCCTTGGTTCTTTGTTGTGATAATCAAAACAAAATATGTATATAATATTGATTTTATTATTATCAAAATTCAATCCCATTTTAGTTATTGACGCCTGTATGAGTGCCCCTTGCGCAGACGGATCTACCTGCGTCAATTCCGGAGTTGACTTCATCTGTGAATGCGCACCGGGCTTTGAAGGGGATCTTTGTGACTTGGGTAAGATATAAAAACATGTTAAATACTTAGGTAGAATCAGGGTGTCATCGAAGGGGGGCGGGGTAGGGATGAGACGCAAGTTTCTGTAAAACACTGTCGAAAATTGTAGCTTTGAAGTTTTTTTTCCTGCTTTTGAATTTGGAGTTTGGAGTATTCTTCTTCTTCTTTATTTTCCTCCATATCTTCCTGCTCCGCAACCCCTTCCACTTCTTCTTCTCTGCACCACTTTCTCCTCCTCCTTCTTCTTCTTCTTCTTATTTCCCTTCTTTCTCTGTTTTTCTTTCTCTCTCTCTCTCTCTCTCTCGCTTTCTCTCTCTCTCTCTCTCTCTCTCTCTCACAGTATCGATTTTCTTTTTGATGCAGTAGGGCAAGTTCCCCCCCCCCCCCCCCGTTCAGAGAGATTTCGGACACTATATCAAAGTATCCAATCCATAGCTTTTAGATTGCCAATGATACTACAATTTGAACGTTTATAGATTGAAACGCGACATTTTACTTGCTGATTTTCCTGACCTATGACATGTGATAATTCATATAATCTGTTTATTTGGCATTCATTTTGGACAAATCGAAGTGCATTGCCATGCAAAAGGGCAGACAATTGTTTGCTTTCCTGCTAGGCGTCTTGTCTTCTCCGGACATTGGCGATCAAGGCTTTCCATCTACTTCTATATCTGGTTCTTCGTAATATGATGTTGCTTCATACGATGTCTCCCTCTGCTTCTCTTTCGCTCAATATTTCTGTCAATTTTCTGTGCCCCTTTTTCATAATATTCCCGACAATGTGAAGTTGTCTCTTTCTTATGACGTTTAGAAGGGATCTATCGACACATGCCTTATTTAGCACTTCTGCATTTTATATCCTGTCGGTCTAAGGTATCCTAAGCATTCTTCTTAAGAACCACATTTCTGCTGCTTGAATTTTGCTGTCCAAGGTTTTATTTCACGTCCAGCACTCGCAGCCGTACAGGAGGACGGACCATACGTAACACTTCAAGTACCCGGATTTCAGTGGTTACTTTTAAATTTCGATTCCTCTGCACATTTCCAAGGCCAAGGCCGATTCTGCATACGTGTGCAGCTAAAGTGTATATGTAGACCGGGGTTCTGAAATTGGACACGTTGATCAATTTCGATTGGTAGACGATGGGAACTTTATGACAATATTTATTCCTTTATTTTTGTGTTCTCTCTCTTTTCATAGAGCTTCTATCGGAGTCACACCGATGAACATACCGATAGAATTTTCCTTATAGATAGGAAGAAGAAAAATCGGCGATTAAAAATTTGATCGCCTATTTCGCTTCTTTTCATCGGCTATTCTATCGGCTTTTTCTCCTCTGTACCTTTCATACTGGCCATTTCATCGGATGCGTCCGGATGCATCCGATGAAAATCAGGCCAGTTTGAAAGGGGTATGATCCTTTTTTTTTTTTATAGAAATCAACGAGTGCTCTAGCCTACCGTGCCAAAATGGCGGTACATGCACAGATGGACTGGCCATGTTCACATGCCAGTGCCGATTCGGATACTCAGGACTGACCTGCGAAATATGTAAGATTTATTTACAATTCTAAAAAATGCTTGTAGAGTTGTTTGCTGGGTTCGTAAACGAACGAACAAACGACCCAAAAGATCCACAGATACTTAAAAAATGGAGAATGCCACTGTACCGAATGCATTTTAGAACAAGAAGAAAATCACTCTCAACTTGATGAACATGCTTCATGAATAATTTGTGACATTGCATTTGAAAAGAATGATGATGATGTCGTACCTATCTTATTCAATCATGGTTTATTAAAGACATAAATGGCAATCATAGACTGAATTGTACATGCTCTTACAGTGCAGGTAAAATACAATGCAAGTATAAAATAACAACGTGAGTTCAGGAAAAATGGAATTTAATATAATGTGTTCAAGCATTATTTCAAATTTGATAGGTAGTGAAATATATACAGAATTTAAAATGACTGATTGATATTGCCTCATTGTTAAAAATAACATTATATTGCACATTTGTTAAGGTAATTATAAGCTTGGATTTGCATAGTGAAAGTTTAACATACGCGTGAGATTGGAAAGATGGCCTTTACGGAATGACATAAAAGGTATTTTTTTTTGGGGGGGGTCGGTTATTTGAATGTCCATATTTTATGATTTTGATGAACGGTTGATAAAAAAATCAGCTGTTGTGAAAGTACCTCATTTAAGTCTATACACCATATGATTTAATTTGGTTTATGACCATTTGCAAATGCGTCAACACCACTGTCTGTGGCAACAATGGACTAGGGATTTATTCCTTGGTTCTTTGTTGAGATAATCAAAACAAAATATGTATATTATATTGATTTTATTATTGTTAAAATCCGATCCCATGTTAGTCGTGGACGCCTGTATGAGTGACCCTTGCGAAAACGGATCTACCTGCGTCCATTATGGAGCTGACTTCATCTGTGTATGCGCACCGGGCTTTGAAGGAGATCTTTGTGACTTGGGTAAGATATAAAACATGTTAAAGAGGTAAAAATCAGGGTGTCACCAAAGGGGGGCGGGGGTAGGGATGAGACGCAAGTCTCTGTAAAACATTGTCGGAAGTTGTAGCTTTGAAATTTTGTTTCTGCTTTTGAATTTGGAGTTTGGAGTATTCTTCTCTTCCTCATTTTCCTCCATATTTTCCTACTCCGCCACCCCTTCCTCTTCTTCTGTTGCACCATTTTCCCCTCCTTCTTCTTCTTATTTCCCTTCTTTTCCTGTCTATCTGTCTGTTTCTCCCCCTCTCTACCCCCCCCCCCCTCTCTCTCTCTCTCTCTCTCTCACACACAGTGTCGATTGTTTGGTTGAAGTAGGGCAAGCTTCCTCCCGTTCAGATGCATGTGGAAATTACAATTGGTTTCATCTTTCTTCTTGGAAACTACCAAACATTCTGTCCTCTTCAGGATGAATGACAGCTAGCCTAGGTTTTCACTTTCGATGGCTACCTTATTCAGTAGTGCGTTTAACTTATACCTGCTTCCTGCAACTATAGGACAGCATAATTGGCATGATAATCTTAGGTTGTTAACGTTCTGGCCGTCAACTATAATACCCAACATGTCATATATTTTACGCATTGTCACCTCGCTATACAGCGAAATGTAAATGCGTGAAATTTCTTACATGAAATTGAATAACTGGGTCTAGCTGTCATTCAACCTGAAAAAGACAGTTACCATTACGCAGCCTTGCCGAACTCCTCTCTTGATCTCTGTACATGCATTAGCTGGTCACCCCTTTCTACCCCGATTGCAGCTTTCTGATCCCAGTACAGGTTCCTTATCAGCCGCAGATCCTCCCACTTAATTTCTGACCCACAGAAAACAGCCATTAGGTTGTCATGTCTTACTCTATCATAGGCCTTGGGCTATGCTATTTAAGCACTAATATGCATCTTTCTGCACCTCCAATGCTCTTTCAGTTAACACATACAGGGCAAACATAGCATTCCTAGTTCCAAAACTGTCTATAAATTCACACTGCACTTCTCATATCTCTGTTCGAATCTTTGATCTTACTTTCAGTAGGAGAACTCTCAGTATGAGCTTCGTGGCATGTCCTGTGTAGCTAAAAAAAAAAGCTACCTTGGAGACAGCTTCTGAAAGCATTGGCCATTGAGACTCATCCCCCCCCCCCTCCACCTGTTTACATGCTGAACCTATTTTTTACTGCCACTTTGTAATTTTCCTTTGGTTATTTTTCCTCTCTAACAAGGTTCAGTTCTAATCTCTGGCTTGCCTCCATCTTCTTCAACGTTCTAAGCCTGACCCGCATGTGACATATGATGAGCACATAGTCGCTGTAGCAGTCAGCTCCTGGAAACCAACTACCTCGATGTATAGAGTTCTGACATTTCCTGTTCATGGTGATATAGTCACTCCGGTTTCTGGACCTGTCGCCTAGACTTTTCCAAGTCCACAGTCGTCTGGTGGGGAAAAAAAAGTATTTGTAATAACTTGATGTTGACTTGTACACCACTCTATCCATCTCTCTCCTCTTTCATTTCTAGATCCAGGTCCATACTATGCCGTCAGCTCTACCGTGATCAACTTAAGCATGAACATCAACCATGCGGATAGTTTGCATTAGACTACTGTTGCGTACAGTGGCTGGATGACGGTCTGGTGTCACCTGTCCCACATGACAGTCACTATCGAGCACAGAATAATCCTTCTGATGAGAAGAAAAATTCTTTTCCCATTATGTTTACTTTTTAGATGTCTAGCCATTGTTATTCTTTGGAAAGATACTGCAGTGATTTGACATTGCCTTCTACAGGTTCCCCTTATTTAGGTGATATACTGCGGACCAATAAGCCATCACGGATCAGCAAAGATCCCCTCTTACTATACCGCGCTTCAGCAATTTAAGGAGGTCGCAATCCGGCTGAATCATTATTCACAAGCACTCAAGCACATGTAAGTATGACATGCTTATGAGTTAGGTACAGGTAAGGCGCTGAATGTCATCCCAGTATTCAAAAACAAGTTTCGCCAGTCCCCCCCCCCCCCCATACAAAGGCAGATCCAGGGGGCCGAAAACGCCCCTATTGAGAATAAATGACATTCTTTGTATCTTTTTCTCCTCCCCACTGAGAGAGCTAAGAGATGGGTAGCAGTATTCAAGATTTGAATGTGACCCCTCCTCGCTTCTCTGATAATCCTGAATCTCTCTGGTTATAAATGACCGCCGCACACTTTAGAGTTTCTGGCTCATCACAAACTATAAAGTATTTTGGTATTATTATTATTATTATTATTATTATTATTATCAAGCGTTCGTGAAGCTGCAAAGATGTACCTGTCACCAGGCGTATATCTAGCACTAGCGTATTGAAGAAGGGCAAGGGGGTGGGAGAGATTTCCCCTCTTGCAATTATTCCCGACCAAGAAAGAGAAACGCAGTTTTACTGGTTTTAAGCAGGTTATCTCACTGAGCGGCGAATGCCGCGTTGCGAACGTTGCGAATTTAGATTCGCCAACTTTTCTGACGAATGTTGGCGAATAGAGAAAGAGAGAAAGAGAGAGAGAGAGAGAGAGAGAGAGAGAGAGAGAGCTGTTGGTGGTGTTGTGCCTGCTTCTTTAAATGCATGATCTAATGCTTTAACATATTTCTTTCTTTTTCAAGTCATTGTTGTGATTTACAGGGAGACTGGTACAATGAATGCAACGATAAATTGACCATCGTGCAGACATCTACTGGTATGCTTTTGGGAAACTACATAATGGATGTCGAGTTGTTTACTAGCATGGCAGGTTAGTTTAAATGTTACAAATCTTTATCTCAAGTCAAGGTATTCTTAGCACTGGGTTTGAGTTTATTTCCAAATTTCCATTGTAAAGCGTCTACAAGGAGATGATTAAAAAAGTTGTCATGGAGTTTATTAAGACTAGGGCACTGCCAAATTAACAACTAATCGAAACTTATTTTTCGATTGATATCAATCACAACTCATATTAATACGACAGGGCCCACAGATAGGTTGAAATTAAAAGTCACCCTCGGATACAGGCCAATGGGAACACATATTATGCCCTGGGCACACGTTTGTCCTACGGACCAAGTATGCGGGTTTTCAGCTCGCACATTTCGTTTGTGACTCCCACGTTCCATCTCGATATGCCTCTCATATGTTTTGGTAGTCGAGCAAAGGGGCACGTATACAGTGAAAGAAGCTTTTTTTTGTAATCACTATGATTATTACAAAATCAGTGTTTTGTGTGGAACCAGTATTGTGATGGTTAGATTAAAAAGTGATGGATTGGATTTATTAATCCTTTCCCCTATACTCATTGATTATAGGATTTTACAGAAAACTCCAAAGATAGGTGTATAAATACAATCTTGTACACGGTATTGGATATTCATTAGTGTCGTGTTGTATATTCCTCGTAGATGACTGCATCCAGGAATGTTTCGTATAGCACCGAGCAACAAGGAGTTTTCAGTGAGTGTAACTGCTGTTAGAGTTTGGTTGGGTGAGTCAGGGTAGCCGAATATACATGTGAACCAGTATATATTTTGTGTTATTCTTGAGATAATAAATTATTTTGTTTCATATATGCACTTGAAAGCACTTATTATTACTTTATTAAGGTTGGTTAAATCAGGATGCACATGTTAGAGGAAAACATTGATTACATAGTGTCTCTTGTCAAGAGTTAAGAGTTGTCTATGTTAGTTTATGTAACATCTACATTTTATCTTAGTTACTTGGATTCTAAATGAGATTAGTGGAGTAACATATGAAATGGTATATTAAAGAGTTGATGATGGGGGAAACGGTTGATTGATATTTTTGAGACTGATTAGTCTTAGACACACAGTTTATTATAATCATAACAGGTTGACATTCTTCATTATTAGACAAATTGCATGATGGTAAAGTTGAAATTATTATATTGGTATTTAAAACCAGACCGGTGTGTTAGATTATGATTGTGTATCATTGATGTGAACAAATTGAATGTGAACATGTAGTTATGATCGTTCTTTCTTTTCGTTCTTTTCTAGATCTGCACTTGCGGAGGTTCTTGTTTGTATATATCTACAGCCAATAAAAAACTTCTCAACTCTACATCTTGAGTCAACGTGTTTTTGTGGTAGTGCCTGTTCTGAAATATCCCCCCCCCCCCCTTTTCATTTTTTTTTTACCAGACTGCGACATAATATTATCCTCTTGCGAAAATGGTGTTCAATATTTAGTTATGGAGCTTTATTTGTGTCGCAGAGATGAATTTCGAAAAAGATATATTAACACTTTAGATAGCTTTGTCTAAAAAATTGTCTAAAGACACCATATTTGTAAAATGTCGTTAATGTGCATTTCTTGTTTATTAGCCAGACCATGGGTCGCGGACATGCACGTTGGTCACAATGTTTATAATCACGGAATCTTCGAGTCGGATTCCTGCCAATATAATATGGTGTCTCATTTGTCGTCTGCACTCTGCAGCAAATTAAGCTTTGTGACTCTTCTCGCTGATTCCTCAAATAAATAAACTCAAACATTTCAAAGAGCACAAGTGTTGCATGCCAAGGTAGAAGATTAATGGCGTCTAAAATAGAGGTATTATTTTTAGTGTGTTGCATCATTGCGATTAGGAAGAGAATACCATCAGACGAGACAATGTTTACATTCAGAGTCGGAATTTAGAGTCCCGCTGGAAGAAAACAGGTAGTTGGCCGGGATGCCATTGTGCCTTAAATCTCGAACAATTCGCCAATTTTCAATCGTGCTCAGTTGGGAATCATACTGAAAACGAGAATGGAACAAGGAAGAGATTTAGGTACTTATGGTCTAAACAAGCGAGGCATTCAAGCATATAGTGTAACATTGGAAATTGAATTCTCGCTCATTTGTCACTGTTTTAGACAAACTGAATTAGAAGGATGTTTGCGCAGCCCTTTCCAGTGCACTAAATTTCATTAAAAAAATTCCCATTTCTCTTATTTAGTTAAGTCTTTACGCTCAAAATTGTTCGATTAGCTCCGCATACACATTTCCATGAATACGAGGGACGTTGTATAATAACGTTTTTTTAGTCAACGAATCCCAACAGAGTTTGAATTCCGGAAGACATACACACTGAATGTTGATAAATTACATGAATCGTTCATGTTAAGCTCAACCGTGGTGAGAGAGAAAGAGAGATAGGGGGAGCGAGAGAGAAAGAGATTGGGAGAGAGGGAAAGAGAGAGAGACACACACACACGCGCACACACACATACAGATATGGAGAGAGAGAGAAAGAGAGAGAAAGGGAGAGAGAAAGAGAGGGAGAGAGAAAGAGAGAGGGAGAGAGAGAGAGGGGAGAAAGAGAGAGAGAGAGAGACACACACACACACACACATATACACATAAAGAGAGATGGAGTGAGAGATGGAGAGGGGTCGCGATTGCGAAATAAAATAACACCGTCTTAAATTCCGGATGGGCTAGCAGAGGCGGCGCTTGGGGGTGCCCCTTTTTCTTTGAAAAAGGTACCCGTTCCACATTCTTATAAGTGTCCCCTTTACCTGATATTACAATTGCCCTTTTTACCTTGACACATCCTCCTTTTCTTTTCTAATAATGTGCTTTTCTCTTTTGATAAGCGCTCCTTTTCTTTTTCACCATAAAACGTGCCCCCCCCCCCCCCATTTAAAGCGATTAAGAGCAATTTTTTTTTTAATTTCCCAAAGCTACGCTCGCTCGCATTGATAGTTGATATAAATATATCTCTTATTAAAATGTCTTTGCAGTCTTACATGATTAGATTGTGCACGAGACCCGTTCAGGATTGTGCTCTGTTTTTTTCTGTTTAAGATGTTATTTTCACACGGCGACCTCACAAATTTTAGAATCTTTTAACAAATGAATATTTAGAATGTTAGACCATCGCACCCGACTGCAAAGTAATATTCTTAACCCTATTTAACTGGGCTATTTCAGACGGGGTTTTTACTGGGGGGGGGGGGGGATGACCCTATCCACTCGACCACGACACCATCATTAACGCTTATTGTCGGCGAATTAAAACAAAATTAAAAAAGAGTCCCGAACTAGACTACCGAGCGAGAAGATTTTTGAATTTGTATTAGTCTAAACGCTGCACTCTTTGGACCTCCAGAGCCTAAAAGTGTATTGCAGTCTTTAGTCAGTATTTGCTAAACGATTAAAAAAAATAATAACTTTTTCAAACTTTCCGCCTAAAAAAATAGAGGGTAACGTGCCCCCCCCGCACCCCCCCCCCCCCCCCCCCCACCGGATCGCCGCCCCTGCCAACATGACTAAGGCAATTATAGATAAATGGAAAAAAACAGAGAAAATGGGCAAAGGAGATTGAGATTAAGTTAAATTTTCTGAGGTGACTGCACAAAAGTGGGTCAAAGGATGAGCAAGCAGTCCCTTTGCTCTTACACACTTTCAGACACATTCTTCTAACAAACTTCTCTCATCCCCCTCCCACACGCAGATTAACAGATTAATGAAATAATTCGTATCGAGGCACATCACATAGATGTATGCATAATACACTATGAACTTGGCGGACAAAGAAAGAGGGCAAAATATACAGTTCCTCAGGTAGACGAAGGAACATCCTTTCACTGCTATTATATACAAAATGTGTAGAATAGGTGAATAATATGTGACACCTGTTCTACACATGTTTACGTAATAGCAGTGAAGGAATGTTCCTTTTATCTACCTGAGAAACTGTATATTTTGTCCTCTCTCTTTGTCCGTCATGTTCATAGTGAGATTTGGTTACATTACGAAAATGGTATATTATGGTAAACTTTTTCGGGGATAGCACTAGAACAAGATGACCCCCAAATATTCACAGATCTTTGATACATGGAGACTTACGTATGTCCCACTGTGTGCATGTTGGAATAATCATTACCAAAGTAGTAGAGGTTGATATGAGTTGATTTTTTTTTTTTTTTTTTGCCAAGCTAAACATATCAAAATACAGTAGTACAAAAGACATGAGAAAGGGCATATAAAGAGATATTTGACAGGATAGCCCATGAAAGATCCAGAGCGGTCACGTACATTGTATTTACATTTAGGTGCTTCTAGAACACCTATTTTGTTTGTCCTCTTGAAAATAACACTTCCACCTATTATCATAAAAAGTACTGCCAGTGCAAACTTGAATAATGATTATATAACTTTCATGAACACGTATCCACCATCGTCGCGATGGGTTTTATTGTTTTATACAAATTACCTTCATCTTTATCTTATTTTACTAGTACTAGTATGTCTAATCCATAGTCTAATGATTATGCACTACAATATATATATATATATATATATATATATATATATATAATGGAAATATCGCAGATTCTGTATATAATATGAAAATCAATGGTACAAGTACAAACTTACAGTATTTATTTTATTTACAGCAATGTCCATGTAGATTTTGGCTGGTACGGGAACGTCTATACTCAACAAATCACTCGACATAGCTAGGGGATATCTTAATCTTGTCTTAGCCTAAAAAGCTGACATATCCGATGTAATTATAAAGCATTAAGTAAAACAGATTAATAAAGACAATAATAGTGGTAATAATGATAATAATAATATCAATATTATCAATAATGATAATGATAAATACGTAAAAAAAAAAATATTAAACGAATAATATTGGGGTTTTTCTGTAACGTATTTCAGGACAGAAAAGCTCTTTTAATATACTTTAAAATTTAGAATTTACAATAATTGAAAACAATTATCAGGAATATTTTAGAAAATACAATCAAAACAGTATTTTGGGCATTAAAATGGAATCGGAATGTCCATCGGCCATTCTCATCTAAACAATATTCATATTGCAGCAACAAGTAGCCTACTTCAATCGTGGCTGCAAAACTTGTCTACATGTTATTCATAATGCGAATGTGTCCGTGACTCAAACTGTTATTACTTCGTTATTTTTTGCTATCGAAATCAGAAATCGATATTTTGTATTTATTTCGGGAACCTATAATTTACAAGCTGTGCTACTAAGTAGGTTCCTCATAATTTCACATCATCGATTCTCTATGTGAAATGTTTAACACTGTTTTGTGTATTTTCTTGTTAAATCTTATGCATGAGACAACCTTGCTATGTGAAATGTTTAACAATGAAGCAAACTAAACAAACAAACATACTACCCCTCTACAACCCTTTCGTGTTATTGCATATGATTATGTTTATATAAAAATGTGTCAATTAATCATTCAAACAAACACTTCCGCACTCACACAATGCATTATTGTGTATCAACCTATAATGCTCATTCATACAACATAATTCCAACAAGTCAGATAGTCCCTACCATCGAGAGCAAATAACAAATTACAAAGCGTTTTAATAAAATTCCAGAGGGTTTCATTTATGTACAGCAAGATCGCTAGGACTTTAAACAAATTAACTTCAGGCAATTTTAATAAACTTGGGCGTTACACATTGAAATGTAGGAACACGAATAAGCCATATTACGTAATCTGAACATAATTTCGATAGGCAATGCATTGGGGTTTAGAAATTACCTTATTTAAATCAAAGTCTATCATGTCTACTATCATTTTCTGGCTATTAGTGACAAGAGATACATCGCTCGCACATGAATCTTCACAGCCTGATGGATTTTTTTTTATCTAATTTGAGTTTTCAAAAGATGGATTGGTATGAGATATGGGAGACGAAGATTCAAACATAGGTTGGGAGCCTCCAGTCCCACTGGTAGATCCTGGTGTTCGTCCAGAATTTCCGTGGGACTCAGCGCCGCCACCTTCCCGCAACAGTGCACAGCAAATACAACGGCGCCACTGCTTCCTGATGGTCTCCTTTCGAAGACAATAGAGGACGAAGATGAAGAAGCCTTGCAAGGAGTTAAAGATGATGAAGAGGAGTTCAGTGTAGTCCAAATTGATCAGGGCCAGGTATCCAGTAGTCCAGGTGAAGCCAAGCAGGAGCAACATGGCGATGCCATTCTGGATCCGTTCTAGGGTCTCTTGACGATCGGTCTTGCAGTGCTTCTTCACACGTCCTGCCAATCGTGCAGAACTTTTCAGACGACACATTGCCAGGATGAACACAGTGATATTGATGATGAGGATGATAGCCATTGGGGCCAAGAGACCACCAATGAGGGGCCATTTCCGGATGTAACAACTGTGGATGGAGATAAAGAGAAAAGTGAGCATTGCTTGGAGAAGACTCCAGAAAACAAGGTTGACCTCGCATTAGTATAATTAATCAGTACCCTAGTCATGATTGTCAAGCACAAGCAATGTTGTTGTTTCCTCTATTCCAGAGCTGTATTAGAGCCATTCTGCCGACACAAAATAATAGGAGTATTCTGTTTGAACTTCGATACATAGATACACGCGAAGTGAATGCAGTTATAACTTTTCATCAATTACCATTTTTTCGCAAGATTCCTCATGTACAAATATGGCTCAACTTACTAATCTTCTTCAGCATAATAGTTCATAGTGATTCCCCCAGTTGCAGCAACAATCACAGCCGGGATACCTGAGTTTCAAAAGAAAATAATTATATATATTTTGAAAATAAGACAATGTTCCTGTTATACTAGCTCCATTGCTTTATACACTTTGGAGTAAATAATACGAAATTATACAAGTAATTTTTTTTTAAATAAAAAAAATACGAGAATAATAAAACAAAGAAATAGAAAATGAATAAATAATCAAACAAATAAACAAATAAACAAACAAATAATAAACAAAAACTGAAGGTTGCCCAAGGCGTTTTTCGCTTCAAACAATGTGGTCCTGATTATTCAGGGGGTGGGGAGGGTGAGGGTAGGGTTTAGAGTGTAGAGTTTAGAGTCATCTACGTCTGATACTAATCCACAACTCAACACTCGATTAGTACACCGTCACCCGACGATCAGGTAAAGACATATGATATATATGGAGAGAGCAAAGGTTCAGGCCAATGCACAACATTAACGCGCGACAGTCTAGAACAAAGGCAAAATTTGATTAGCCTCGGTAGGTAAATGGGAAAACACCTCTAAGAGTAATACCAGCAGCCGATGCCATTCTAAGGGTGCGGTGAGTTGGGATGGCGTGGCTATCCTCCTTTAACAAGACAAATAGTACAACAGTGATTAAAGGAATCAAGTGTAAAAACAACCGCTGTCTGTTCTTGAAAAGTCTGTGGTGATCCTTAGCGTCATCTAGACACCAATACAGGTCACGTCTCTTGTAATTGTTTTCTTTAATAATACGCACTAGATGTGTATTATTTTGTTGTATTATCAAGAAAAATCAATAGTTCTTACCCCATCCTACAATCGAAGCTTTGATCATAAACTTCGGGATGTAAGTATTAAACACTTTTACGATGACCAGATAAGTGTTAAACCCCTCAATGCCCATCCACGTAAGCGAAGAGAGCACGAAGTAGTGGACGAGTGCCGCCAGGACGGTACACGGTATCAACTCGACCTCGGCATGCTTGAACTCCGTGTCGAGAGCGATTATGGCGAGGGAGACGGTGTACAAACAGAGCAGGGTGGTGCAAAGACAGATGAAAATCTTGTGAGTCTGAGATCTTCGTATCTTCCTGTTGATGAAAGATATTATCGTAAGTACGTTTTGTCTGGCTAGTTTTCTTTTTTCTTCCTAGAAATAAACGAAAATTCTTTGATCTGATTGTACTACAAAGGGCAGTTCCTTGCCATGTAAACTGTATACGACATAATTTTAATAATACGATCGATTTAAAGTGCAGCTAATGCAATATACTGCCTCACACTGTAGTAAAAGAAATCCTAAAGTAACACACAACCAAAACTTATTCAAAAGGATTCTTAGAACAGGTGTGTCTCCAATAAAACTTTGAAAACGGCCACAGACGGGGCTTTTCTTATGTCCCGTGGTAAGCTATTCCAAAGCTTTTGAGAGACACAACAGAAGCAGACTGGTGAAAGTTTGCATAAAAAAGGACCCCTACCCCCCTCCCTCCACAAAAAAATAATAATGATAATAATACAATTTATTAAGTAACAATAATAATAATAATTATCCTTTTTAAAAAAAATTGCAAAGGATGTTAGGTGCTCCATATTTGCTTAAAATCGATAATGTCACTGTGACGTAGTACCGGACAAATTCTCCATTTGTTTAAACACAGAAAATTTGTAAATTGTCACTTTGTTCAAAATGCATGAATCAGGAGGGTCCTTCTTTTTAGAGGACCTATAATATGCTATCCATATTATGTTTTGAGAAGTGCCCCGAGGGAGAAGTCATTTAGGAGCAAAGCAGAAATTAATCATGTTTGTGTACACGACAAATTCCACTTACCAAATTGCCAATCTGAGATTCACATATATTTTGTGATATTCATAACTCCCTTATGATAGGTCATGTTTCTTCAAGCTGTCACCATTCTGTTTCTCTTATTTGTCGGCTTTCGTACAAATCGGAACTGTTTGATTTTCCTTTAATTGCCTTAAACATCATCTATTGAAATATGTGAACATTCAAATGACGTATTACGTAATCAGAATAATCATTATTCCTGAGGCATATAAGCCGGCATATAAACTTTAAAATGGGTGCCGAAAATACCATTGACTTGAAATCGCTGTACTGATATACATCACTCATTCCGTTCGAAGATTCACTAACAACTCTTTTATTTTCAATCGCTTTTGTACATTATCATGATTATTTAGGATTTTTTTCTGTATAAATTAATTGATTTAGATTGATTATACCTTTCAAATAATTGTTTTGGGGGATTGGGAAGGGCTGGTAGAAAAGAACAGCCACAAACATTTTGACTTACTTGACACTAAGATAGGACGCGATAGCGATGACCAGACACACACATGATATAGCACACCCAATGATACTCAATAAACGGAGTGCAGGTTTCGGAGGTTTGTCCTCTGCATATATGTCCTTCAGCGTAAAACGTGTACAGGAGTAATGAAATAAGATTTACTACAGTAAAGAATTAATAAATCTGTATACACATTCTGAACTTCGATCATTGATAACAGGCTTAAAAGTAACAGGTGAAATCTGCTATTGGGTTTGAAGCGCGTCACGCCATTCAATTTTATCAATCCTAATTGTAAACATTGGGATGAAGACAATACCTTCTTACTAAATTACACTTTATTTACATTATCTCCCTATTCCCAGTCCAGGACCTCATTGAAAGTAAGTTAACCGTGTATTGCTCTGCACTTTGTACGATTTACAGTATAGCTTTTCAAAATGAACACATCTTTGTTCATTGTTTTGGTTTAAAAATTGTGAAATCGAATTTCAAGTCTGTTTCATTTGCAAAACGGTCAAGATAAATGACCGATAAAGTGAATTATCCAACATTTTAAGAAATAGGACATGTAGCCTGGTACTAGTCATTTCTATCTCAGCCTTTCTTTACAAACATTGACCCAAATAGTATGTCATAGTCATGTCTTTGCAATTGTCGAAATATAATGTAGTGCAGTTAATAGATTATTAGCATGTTCATATGCATGTGCTTCTTTCCTTTTGTCTAGCACAATCTTTTACGCTTCCTGCAAGTTTCGAATTCTAATCTCTATTAATATTAGGGTGATTCAGATAGTTTTCTTGCAAAGTTTTGTTAAGCAGGTGAAGGCAATATTTTAGTAGCTTTGGTATAGAATGAACCCTAGTAAGATTTTATATTGGTCACTTGAAGCTTAGGATCTTGAGAAGGAAGACCTCTGAGCCCTAATGTCTTTAATAGAGCAGCCACAGCAGCTAGCCTGCTAGTGGTTTGATGGCTTCAGCTAGGCCAACAGAGTGGGTGACGGCAGCATTCTTGGGCTGCACCTTTTGAAACTGGGAATGGCAGTTTCTTGTGTTTCTAGCTTGCACCAGACTTATCTGTACTGCACACGGGCTGCTCCTGTCTTCCAAGCGTTCACACACCAGTTAAACTGTAATTGAATTCTAGTTATTTCTTTTTTGCAGTAATTTAATTAAGCAAATTATCAGAGACATTAATTAATGGAGAAATAAGATTAGCTTGGAAAACGAGAATTTATCTTGATAAAGAGAGGAAAAGAGATGTGGGAGTGTCGTGGTCGAGTGGTTTAAGGCGCTTGACTGTAGATGCGAAGGTCGAGGGTTCGAATCCCGACACGGCACTAATATCCTTTGGCAAGATATTTACCTGCACTTGCTACTCTCCACCCAGGTGTTAAATGGGTACCCGGTAGGATGCGAACGTTCATGTGGTTGAACGAGCAATTGTGCGCCTGTAAAATGGCGACTGGCTGGAATGCTCCCCAGGGAGTGGAAAATGTGCACACATTGTGTGCGGGTAAGCCTGAATCCGATGACCGGGATAATAATATATCTGTAAAGCGCTAAGGTACATCGTTGGATCGGTGTATTGAGCGCTATATAAAAAACCGGATTATTATTATTATTGGATGACGATTATTGAATGGCTTTTTTGACCTGAAGTCTTTAATTGTAAATCATATATAGTTTTGCATATGTAATATTATCCTTGACAGAAAAGGGAATGTTTCTTATTTCAAAATGAATGCTGTTTAGTATCATCTAGTTGTTGCATGTTATATGATACCAGCAATATGAAGATATTTTATGAAACTAGAATAGAAGTTACAATTTTACATTTTGATTATTCTTGGAATAATTAGGGTTATCATAAACAGCATACAAGAGGAAATTGTATTTTGTTAGAGATAGGTAGTTTGTATGCAAAAAATGTTAAACATGTGGAAGGAATCACAAACCACTAAAACGGCAAAGTTTGTCAGGTGGTCGCAGGCGCATGTGTAGTATTCATCACTGAAGCTTCTGACGGCGTTATCAAGTAACAGTTGACATCCCTCCATAGACCATTTAACAAGATTAAACTCCCAGAAGTTACAAGTAGGATAACGTGAGTCGGGCTGAAATCAGTAAATTATTTGAACAAATATGTAACTTGTTAGAGACATGCGGCTCACAACCACTGGCAACAGAACTTAGCAAATGCCTGTTTACGACATGTATAGCACATAAGTATAATCAATATATAGGCCTATCTTATGTTAGGCATCTAGGTTTTATCATACACTGTCGCTCATGAAGTTGGAATATTTTTGTTTTACCCCAATTTACGGAATTATTTAAAAAATAATTTAAAAATAATAGATCTAGATAATAGTATACATTCTCAGATTTTATTGAATAATAATTTGACAATGTGTGTTTTGCGTGACTGCTAAAGTATGTGTATGCTTCTATGCTTATCAACTAGGGGACCTACGCCGTTAAGTCATACATGACAGTAATGAGGATTAATGCCCCCAAAAAGGGCACTAATATATAGCACATCGACACGGTTTTGATCATGGGGCCTCAAAGTTACGAGGCCATTGCTTTGTCACTGAACCATGACTGAACGCAGCGGGGGCTAGGGTAGGGGGCATAAAAAAAAAAACCTCTGTGTGCCCAAGCCTTGAGCCATAATGCATGGCCACCCAGAGGATTTGTTTATGTTGGGGACCGGGGTAAAATGCAATAAATTAGTGAAAATGTATTGCATTTTCTGTGTTTTTTTTTATTTATGGAAACTGCCTCCTACCCTAGCCTTGTTTCCAAGTGATTCTTAGGTTGTTATATTTTCTAACATGACGTAATTTACGTAATACCTCAAGCTCACACTACAAGTTCAATGCACTACAGTACACCGCCGCACAGTGGGCCAGGGAGAAACCAAAGTGCGCTAAAACTCATTTTTGGTGATTTATTTTTTTCTTGCCCAGTTGAAAGGTAAGACATTGAGGAATACCTCAGTAAAATATTTAATTCCGGTATGCACAATAAGAGTATAAATTTACTCCTTCAAACAGCAAAATCCTACATAGATATTCACAGTTTTTTTGCAAAAGTAACTTATTTTATGAATCTTTCGATTTAACATGAAGTTTTTAAGTTATTGATATGAGTTGCTCTCATATTTTCATAGTTAATTTCGTTGCATGAATGGGTTGAAATTGATAGAAGCACAATCTTCATGATATATTAAAAGGTAATTCAGTGAAAATGGACTAATTTTTTTTTTTATTTCATTTTTTTTATAAATCCAGAGGAAATGTTAGAGCCGATTTCCCTTGTCACATTGCCCCGAAAAAAGGTGTTTTGGGGGTCCGCGGCTGAATCATGAAGGATTCGCGGTAATAAATCATGGCGCGTGGGGGCGCGTGACACTTGTTTTGACGCCGCGAACCAAAAATAAACACATTTTTCGGGGCACTGTTGCAAGAAAAACGGCTCTAACAAAATGACGGGCAGAATCAGGCAGCCAAATCTGGAATCAACTTAAAGCTTAGACATCAGAGAAAATGGTGGTACTAAAATTTAAGCGGAAAGTCCAAACATTTCCTCGGGATTTATAAAAAAATGAATCCCCAAAATGAGTTTTGGCGCACTTTGGTTCCTCCCTGGCCCAATGTGCGCCGCCGCAGCGCGAAATATGAAATTGCAATAAATTTGTATTCGTCAATATGGCAGCTTCAACGAGCTGATTTGCTTCGTTCGTTGAGGAAGAATTGGACAAACTGATTGATGAAAAAGATTCCCGTTCTACTTAGAAAGTCATCAATGTTGCTGAGAATGTGCTGAAAGCTTACAGTGAACTTACAGGATTTACACTTTCGGAAACAATTGCAGCAACTGAACTGAGTAACTTTCTTCGATCAATTTATGCTGAGGTTCGTAGATCGAATGGAGAATTGTACAGTAAGCGGTCCATTATAACACTGCGATATGGATTGCCGAGACATTTCAGAAAAGTGAGTGCTTTCGGTCTTGACATTGTAAATGACCCACAGTACAAAGAAGCTGATGACATGTTTCACGCCGTTCTTGTAAAACTAAAGAAGGAAAGAAAAGGGTCTGTTGATCACAAAGATCCCATTACAAAGGAGGATTTTTGTTTATAACAGCAAAGGATGTAAATACTTCCCACGGGCTTCAGAACAAAGAATTCATCGACATTATGATGCATTTGTTCAATTGTGGGAGAGACAACTTGCGCAGTTAACAAGTAAGGATGTATGAAAATCATAAGCCGGACTGTCCTGTTGAATCATTTCTTAGGTATGTTTCTCATCATAATTCAGTATGCAGTGACTTTTTTCAGCGTCCAAAGACGAGCGTGGAAAGCAAAGAGCAAGTGTGGTACTGCAATTCTCCCGCAGGCAAGAACACTTTTGGTGAGAAAATAAAGAAAATATATCTTGAAGAACAGACATCAAAAGTCTACACAAACCACATCTATTCATGTCCTAGACGCTAGTGGATTCGAAGCCATACACATAATGTCCGTATCCGGACACAAGTCCGAAAGTAGCATCAAGCACTATTCCTATATCAATGAAGCAAAAAAAAAACCGCATGAGCAGATGTCTTTCATCAATGAGTGATGAAATAGCTGGCCTATCTACAGCACCATCCACTTCTGCTAGCATTCATCCCGCTATTACTAGTCCAGGACCAGGACCAGGACCAAGTACTAGTACTACTACCGTGGTACTGCAGCTCTAGTGTCGGTACAACACACAGAAGAGACTGCATCGTCACAAAACTCACACTCTTAGTCATCACCACAAATAGATGTTTTATCTAACAAGCTAGCCTTGGAAAAGAAGCGGCAGTACAATTGTTATAATTATAATGTCAACCTTTACAATTAATCTGATTTTGACTAAATTATCTAGACAATAGACAGAGACAAGAAATAACTGGATTTTTCAGTATTTTCGTGTTTCAATCCAAACTTTTACTGCGGAGTTGGAATTTGCCGTTTATTTTTCTTTAGTTTAGAGCTTGTTTCTGTTTAGAAATACTGTACGGTTGGAATTCACCACAAATTTGCGGATTTCTTAATATCTGACACTGCCACTGGAATCAAGAAGGCATTCTTCAATTAGGCCTATCTTAGCATCTACAGCACAATAATAATGGTAATAATTTCACGATAAATTTGCGGATTCCTTAACGTCCGACACTGCCACTGGAATCAAGAAAGCATTTTACAATGAATTAGGCCTAGAATGAAACTAAGAATGGTGAGTCGGCAACAATTCCCTAAATTTTTATTACCTTTTTTTCTTCTATTTATCTTGTTTTGTATCTGATATAGGTCGTCATAATATAATATTGACTTTTTCCTTCGGGAACAATATAAAATTTCATTTCCCTTGAGGTGTTATATTTTTCCTCAGCGCGCAAAAATATAGCTCCCCTCGAGGATTTAAAATGCTATATTGCCCCTCTAGGCAGTCAATATCTGTATAATGTTTAGTGTTAGGGCTAGAGTTATAGGTACAGTCTTTGGTCCAAGACCGAAGTTACGTATTTTGTTAATAATGGGATATTGACATCAGAGCATTTATCACCGGAGCATTTGTCTACTCTCCAGTGCACCTCATACCATGCTTACCTTGAATCTATAGAAAGTGATATTGACACGCTCCATGAGATTCTCTATCTTCTGTCCGCCGATTGTTAAGGACACCACTGGAGTATTAATCTCACGGTTGAACTCCTGTGTCTCCCGGTTGAGTAGAGCAAGGCTCGGTGAAGGAAACATGGCATCATTGGCGTACACAACGAAAGCAACCCTGAGAGACCCGATAGAGCTTTTACCCGTCGTTTCCCAAGGACCACTTGACACTCCTGATGCGGTAGTTGTGCCGAGATTGTCTCCATTGGTAGTGTTGTTAGAACTTGATGGGACTTCCGTGACCTCTAGAGTAGTGAAAACTTGGGCTACCTCGATGGGTACAACAACCCTGGCAAAGGTGTCTCTTGGGACAGAATCAGTAGGTGTGTCTTGGTGTGTTTCTACCATGATGTCACTGTTGCTCAAGGAACCGGTGTCCATACTTAATATGGTGACCACTATGCCGTCTCCAGCAGTTTCTGAAGGGACGTCAATCACCTACAGGTATGTGTATGCAGTTATAAGTATGCAATTATCGAAATATTCGATATTATTGCTATAAACATTGAGCACACTTTTAGAACAATACACCAAATTTTCACAAAATCATAATTTACACACACGTTCACGCGTTTTAAAATATGATACGTTTTGGAGGTGTTTTTTTTTTTTGCCTTTGTTTAATGGCATCGTTTAACAAAGTTGAATCTGAGATGCATGGCCTATACGTGTTATCAGTGTCTGTGATATGGTATAAAATTGAAGACCCCAAAAAATTGCGCTTCAAAATGATCAAGAAGTGCATCAAAAAAGTAAACATCTATGAGTGACCGGTTCTACCATACTCGTTTTCCCCAATAGACTGTAGTGTTATGAAAACCGATAGGAAAAAGTAAAATTTGATTTCGATTTCTAATTATAAATATCTTGATAATCAGACAGGCGATCGGCTTGTAAAAATCATGGGGTTCCTGACTGACCTAAATGTTTAAAACTATCATTGCAGCATTAGCTAAATCTAGGATTTTGTTTCAAAATCTGAGGTGAAGTTACCCAATCACCCCCCCCCCCCCCCAAAAAAAAAAAATAAATAAATAAATAAATAAATAAATAAATAAAATTAAAAAAATAATATATAAATAAATAAAAAATAAATAAATAAAAAATAAAATAAAATAAGAATAAAAATAATCGCGATTCAAAATGATCAAGAAGTGCCTCAAAAAAGGAAAACAGAAATATGTTAGTGACCGGTTTTACCATACTCATTTTCCCCAATAGACTGTAGTATTATGAAAACCGTTATCTTGATAATCCGACAGGCGATCGGCTTGTAAAATTCATGGGATTCCTGACTGACCTAAAGGTTTATAATTATCATTACAGCATGAGCTTAATCAAGGATTTTGCTTCAGAATCTGATGAGACAAAGTTACCGGATCCCTTTAAGGTCTAATTTACCTGAACTGCTATATACAGTCTTATAAGTCAATGTGGGCTTAAACGATGTACAGATTTGTGACAGTTAAAAGGTCTAGTTTACCTGAACTGCTATATTAGGATAAGCTCTGTCAAGCGTGCCGTTGTTAATGTCGACGGTATTCAACTGAGATTCCAAGACCTGGACGATAAGGGCAGCATAATTGCCATTCTCTTGGGCAGAGGCTAGCACATCCACGTCGACAAACATCACGTTGTTTACTATTCCAACTATAAGACCGGTTACCTATGAAAGACAAGGTAGATATCATTACACAACAAAAGAGATGAGACTTTCTGCGTTCATTACAAACGAGACACGTCAAAACATCACAAGACGTAATTGGAGACACGAATGTGCAGGGTTCAGAGAATACGTTGAGCTTCTTATTTCAGACCCTTTACTATAAGTTAGGTTTGATAGATTGTTTTTTACCTGACTGCTATGAAGGATGCGAATGCTTGTAAGTACGCAACCAGGGACTTGGTTATGATGATTTGATAATTCCTGACCAATCAATAGACACTAGTTTATCGTCTTTGTTTCGAACCCCGGTTCTCCAGAAGACGTTTTAACCCCTGAACCACTGCGACTCTATCTTCTAATACTATTATAAAGTATACAATCAGATTTATCATTCATCTTGCAGCGCATAATTGTCGATAATGATATTGAGGTCTTCCTCTCCCACACTTAGCAATACCGATGTGTTTGAACATGCACACTTTTGCTTTCTTTCTATACACGTAAAATGATTTGGTTCGATAAGATAAGGTACGTGAAGGGAAGGTAAACCATTAACTCATTAACTCACATTTGTATCAGAGTTCTGGTCAGCTAAGAGCTGCAGGATCTCATACAGTAAGCCAATGTCAATAACGGTAATGTCCTCATAGTTCTGGGTTGTTGTGAAAACTTCTTCAGCAACATTAGCATCATATATCCCATTCTTCAAGTATAAAGAGACACACATATCAGGGGTTAGTAATGTTAACTACAAAACACATCAACTCTTTGATAGCATAAAAACGTTAGATGAGCGTGGGCATCTTCTTTTGCAGACCTCGAAATTTACTTGCAGTGGCAAGGAGATTTTAAGAAGGAAGGAAGGGGCGGGGTCTGGACTATATTTTGTCATTCTAGACTGATGGATGGGTAGGGCTGACGAATGAGCATGGATGCTATCAGTTTTTCTTATATTATATAAATGCACATTTAAGATAGAATTGACGGATAGAATACTTAATTTACCTCATGGGGGGGGGGGGCATGGTTGGTGACGTAATCGAAGTTCCCTACAACCCTGTGAGAAGTTTTTACGTAAGAATGCACAAATTACATTTTGAACGGTAAGAGAAAGTTGGACAAGGTTGCACGTAGCATTTTCCCCTGCCTATATGAATATATCAAACCATGCCATATTATGATACACAAGTATTTCATTTAAAAGAAAACAGTGGATAAGACACAAAAGTACAGGAGTGCTGAGTGTTAGAGGAGATTGGAATCTTTCACCACACCTACGATTTATTGTATAAGCATGTTCGTACGAACAAATCTTTTTTTGACGGGATGCAACAAAGATGAATAAAACACTGCAAAATGGTAGTTAACATTGACCCAGGACGAGAGTAGTTGAGAAGGTTCTCCATCCGACAATAAAACATTTTGAGATCAGATATATCAAAGTTCTGTAATTAAAGAATAGGGGGAAAACTATTTATTATTAAAGCAGAGGTTTGGTATATGAACCACTGAGTAATTAACGAAATGCGACTAAGAAGTAGAGAGCTATTAAGAGACAAAACATGAAATAGAAAATAATTAGATTTCACCCAAGAAGCTTTAATTGAAATGAATATTTTATAACGGAATTAATAGTTTCGTATAACAATCGTACTATTCATTTTACATTCATGACATTGACAACATAATAGCGGATGGAAGACGATTAATACATCATCACTTTTGTATCATAATTATTATTCTGCCCTCTTAAACTGTATTTAATAAGCCCCATTTAAATATGAGGCGGTAACCAGCGGCGTTTCTTTCTGTTAATGATGACGTAAAGTTAAATAGGCGTAGGCTCATTTTGTTCAATCGGATCTTCCCGTCGAGTCGGTTTTTGGGGTTAAACAATATTTTGTGAAAACATGCCCCTTTATTCACGAAAGGTCGGGTAAACTGAATGAAAATAATCACAACGTTTTTAAATATTGTTCTAGAGTTAAGGCTTATATGTTTACATGTACATTTCTGTGAAAAATATGCCAATACGATCAGACAATGACTAAACGTCGATCGCTGGGCTTCTTCCGAACTCTCTTGTGATTATTTATCTCGTATTTCAAACAGGTTAAAAAAAAGTCAAAAGTGTCGGTTAAACTAGACAAGGACGATATTTTTTTTCCTACACAATCATTAAACCAGACCATTCTGAGAGTTCGTGTGACCAGAAGACGTGAAGAACTGAGAAAGCCATAGAACCTCTGTTGCGCGTAGTTGCCATTCATTCACACGTTAATACAAACCGCCGCGGTCTACCTCTTCATATCTGTAAAAGCATCTAAAGTAATCATGGTGTAACTTGCCATCAATATTTCCATTAATTGTCGAGTGATATCATCTTGACATCTAATACTGGCGTTCCAATAAGTTGTGCCGTTACTAGAAACATGGCAAACAGCTCTAATAATTGATGCCGCAGGGCCTAGAAAAAAGAAAACATTATATATAAAAAAGAACGAAAAAAAAGAAAGTGATTAAGCATCATTTGAATACGTTTTGCTATCTCTGCTACTGATCATGCTGATAAAGCATGAAATTCGTATTTTTCCTTGTGAAAAATTGTTAACATAATAAGTTAGTAAACGAAATCAGACAAGCAAATGGTGCGTTGTGAATGAACTGTATCGGCAAATAAACACTGAAAAAATAAGTTTGAATGCCACCATTTGCATACAAAAGTTGATATTATGAAATCCCTCGCCTTTCAACATTAAAATTGACCAATAATCCATTTTTAGAAATAAACTGTTTCTCCGGTTAGGTACTATCGATTGATTCTTGAACCCCCTTTTGAGTCCATTTCCGTGCATTACATTGCGTCGTTCATACATGAAAGTGATATAATCGAAAAAGATCATTGACGTTTCCAAATTGGTAATTCGAATACAAATTTATAATTACTATTTGTACAAGTTGTGTTTTCAATTTCTTTCTGATTTCTTTTTCTTTTAAAGTAATTTGTTTTATACACACTGGTTTATTCTACGTTCATTTGAATGGTGGATGCCAATTTGAGGAGAGAAAGCTGATTCATTTACACCTCTGAACTGATATTGGTTAGTTGTATTTCTCTGTAACCCAACACAGCCTAAAATCGATTAAAGTCAATATCAATGCCTCATTATTTATCCGAAGGACTAAAAGATGAAGTTGAGTTCTGGTCATGCGATTGCATTGTGAAAGAAAGTGTATGGAATCGACCAGAAAAGGGTGATCATCTAGCATATAATAATTTGTGTGTATTGCAAGGTTCTAGAATCATCAAAAGGATAAGAAATTTGGCCAAGTCTTGGTAAAGTTACAAACACTACACACAGAAAGATGTATATGGGAATACACGAACACATGGGGTAAAAATCCTACCCGGATTTTGTACGATGCTACATGACATATTTAGAATATGAAGGCAATTGAAGAGCCATGCTTTTCAGGGAACGTGTCTTATCTGATGTTCTTCCACACTTGCATAATAAGAATGATAACGCTCACAAATTATTTTTTTACCTCTTCCCAGAACTCAACCTTCTCTTTAACTGATTAAATACATTTCATTTATTTTCATTTATTTTCATATTTCTCATAAACATACATATATTTTAAATGAAGTACAATTTTTTTTCTTCAATAACACATAATAATAACAAAGATAAGTGGTCAATATGAATTTGTGATTTAACTAAGAGAAATATGATGGGACCTACATGAAAGCAAGCTTGTAAGGCTGTAGGCCCCAGTAAAGTAATTGTGGTGATAAATGGAGGACGGATATAAATGTAAATAGTGACCAGTCTAAATGATTCAAAAGTAAAAAGGAAATAATAATAAACTTGTGGTGGTGCTGTTTATATTGTCCCTTCCTTTCTTACAGTGTAGATAAAAGTACACGTACTTAAATTATCATGCAATGGGTGCTCAGCTGGTAAACGAACATTACAGATAATAGTAAAATGAATACATTTGTATATTGCATACATTTAAATAGAATAACGAAGCAAGCAAGCACACTGAGTCAGCCGTCGCACTCTCGGATATAGAAGTAAAGATGTTTTATTGTTGTTGTTTTTTTTTAAATACGTATTTCCGAAAGCACGACAACAAGACACAACGTGCTTGCACGCAAAGGTCATATATTGACATCAAGATATGCTTTGAAAAGCAGTTCCTTCAGTTTACGTTTAAAAGTATATAAGGAAGGACTTTCAATTAACTCTAACTGGAGGGCATTCCAGTAACTGGGTCCTGTAAACATAATCGTTTTTGGGGCAAAAACAGTTCGGGTACGTGGAAGGTGGTATGCGTCGCTCTGACGTGTGGGATAATCATGTAGGGATCTATTTTTCCGGAACATTTGTACATATATTTCAGGTAGGTTATTAGTAGATAAATTGTACATGAATATACCAACATTGCAATAGAATAAGTCTGATAATTTTACGATTCTGTTTTCATTGAACAGGTTGTTGGTGTGAAAAAAGTATCCTACATGATTAATATTTCTAATAGCGCGTTTTTGAATGCGAAAAAGCATATTTATTAGATTTCCACTAGCGTTACCCCATGCGAGAATTCCATAGGTGAGGTATGGAGTCATTATAGCAGAATAAACTGATAATACAATTTTACTGGGAAAAAAGTGTTTAAGTCTATTAAAGTATACCAGTATTTCTTGAGAGGACCTTACTCAAATTAGTAATGTGGGATTTCCAAGATAAATCACTATCAATATAAGGTCCCAGAAATTTAGGGCAGTCGACTTGTTCTAGTTCGGTATTGTTAACATTGACATGATTAGGAAGTATTTTTAATGTATTACTAAAAAGCATATATACATGAGATCAATCAAAGGAAACGAAATGCATGGTATTGGGAGTAGGAATTGATGATACATGCTTATGTCAGAGAGCGTGTGTGTCATGATCCTGTAATGAAATTCACAGGGAAAATGTTTAATTTACTGGTACAACTCGTACTTCGTTGCCCATCACCCCATCTGTCTGGGATATTAGATTGTAAATCAGTGTACTAGAATAAAAGTTCAAGTGTTATCTAGATTGCAAAATTGTGTTAAACAACCACATATTACTTACGGAATATAGTTGTGGGCCGGGGAAGCCCCTATAAGGCTAGGCTATCAGAGGCATATCGTATTTACTGAAAATGGCAGTTTGTGCTATAAAATTTAGTGAGAGGAGAACTCACGTATATATTTAAAAGCTTGCGAATCCTAACAGTGCATAATCTGCATGATTTATCAATTTATACTTTCATGTTTGATCCGTTTAATAAACATTTTCCTCGTATTTGTTTTAAGATTAGACTTCTGTGACATTATAGTGCATATTACTACTCCGCACGAAAAAGAGACAGATAAGAGGGTACGCAATTATGTCTTCCGGATGTTGTTTTTTTAATGGTCAGTAAATTCTTGAATAAACTACCTATAATTGTCAAATTAAAAGGTTTTGAAATACTTTTTGGTATTCACACATTTTCGAAGAAATCATAAATTAATAGTCCATTAAAATAGTCGCCCTACCCCACTCCCGGAAATATTGAAAATATGCCACTACACATTATTACCCTACCTTCAGAATCTTCCTCTGGGCACAATTCCTCCGAGTCGATAATGATTCCAACTTTAGTCATCGGAAGTCTGGCCTGTCCGAATTTAGTGTCCATCGTGACGTTCGAACATGTGCGTTCTAATTAATGTAACAGAGAAATGCGGTTACTTTTTGGGAGTGGAGATTGTGAATCTCATGAACAGGTTGATAATTTGGGTACATTACGAAAATGGCATATTGCTGTGGTAGAACATCCCTTCACTGCTATTATGTAAAATGTGTAGAACAGGGAAGGGATGTTCCTTTGTCTACCTGAGGAACTGTATATTTTATGCGCACGCGGCATATAGTACCGTACTAGATTTAGGAAAATCAAGGTTGACGCATTCTCGATCATTATGGCTTGACCTACCTAGCACCACTTAATATATGCAGTTGCATTCTGACTATTGAAGTACTATTATTCCTATCAGGTGAATGAAATAATTTGTATTGTGCACTTCACAAAGACCTATGCATTAAATTTGGTTACATTACGAAAATGGCCTATTGTTGAGGATAGAATGAGGAACTGTATATTTTGTCCTCTTTCTTTGTCTGTCATGTTCATAGTGTTACTTCCTACATGCATGTATATCGTCGAAAGCAATCTAAAAGATTTCTAATTGTAGTCAACATGGGCAGCTGAGTACGTCAACACGCATGATCAGTCGGCGTTCGTTGTGTTCTCGTCCACTCAATCTAAAAGTCCCTAATACTTTTGTCAATGACACAAGTCTAGAGTTAAAAAGCGGTATTTTAATGGCAGACATTTCAGACTACCTTCCAATTTTTGTATTCAATCGGTCAAAACATAGTGAATGGCTTAAGCGCGATCAATGTAATAAAAATTATACAAGAGACATGTCTCGCTCAAACTTTTAAACATTTAGGGTCGCCCTGACTGAACATTCTTGGGAATATGTGATGCATGAAGAGTCATGTGACAGAGCTTATGAAGTATTTCTCAGTGAATTTAATATCATACATAATTCTTGTTTTCCTTTGAAAGAAAAGCGTTGCCGAAAAGGGGAATCTAAACCATGGATTACAATAGCAATATTGAAATCATGTAAGAAAAAGATAGAGCTATACAAAAAGTATTTGAAGAACCCTTCTGCACACAGGAAAAAAGTATACCAACAGTATCGAAATACTTTAACTTCAATTGTTGATGTATTAAGAGCTTCATAAACCCATTATTTGTATTATTATTTTTATTATTATAATCATTATTATTATTTTTCTTTCTGTTATACTACGATAAGAATTACCTATGATACTAAAAAAAAGTCTGTAGAATGTATTATTTATAGCATATGCACGATATATTACGGTCTTTTTCTTTAAACAAAAAATTGGATAATATTTTGTGACAACAGAGACACGGTTTGCACGGAATATAAAATATGCAATTTCCAACTGTTAGACATTAAAGATAAAGGTGAGTTCTGGTCATCCGATTGCATTGTGAAAGAAAAGGTGTGGAATGGATCAGAAAAAGTTGATCATGTAGCATGTAAGTCTTGGTGTGTACTGCAAAGTTCTGGAGTCATCAAAATAATAATAAACTTGGCCCAGTCTTGGTAAAGTAACAAGCACTGTAAACATTAAGATGTATATGGGACTAGACAAATGGTGTCGGGGCTACTAACCTTAATTTCCTAATCGTTCTATGCTCATTACTCACCCAATTGTTTTGCAAATGACATTATGTGAGAATTCATTTTTTTATTACCAGAACTCACCTTTATCTTTAATAGCATCGAAAATGAAATAAAATTACACAGATAGATGAAGTTCTCAACACAATCACCGTGAATGCAGCGGTAATTTCCACACTGAGCTCGAATAACTAATGAGAAGATTACAAATATATGTCAAGGTATGTGTTATTATTTGTTAAGTAATTTATTTGCCCACTACTTGCTATAATGAACATGAGGCTTTTCAAAAATAGGAATAGATTATCCGAGGAATATGTACACAAACTCGAAACAGACATATACTAATTGTTTTATAACCAAATGTGACTTTCTAAAATCGCGTTTGTTTTGATTTACAGTGAATTCCCGATCAAACTTCCACTTTATAGTCCACTAGACCGACATTCCTTGAGACTAGCAAAACAAGAGAATACTTAACGGAATATACGGAAACCGTCAGTCTCGCGGACCGTCGCACAGTGGGTCAGGTAGGAACAAAAGTGCACCCAAACTATTTTTTTAAATTTTGTTTTTTGATTTTGTTTTCTTCTTGCCCAGTTGAAAGATAAGACATTGAAGAATACCTCAGTAAAATATTTCAGTAATAATTCCAGTATGCACACTAAGGGTATAAATAAAAACGGGTAGATGCAGAGCTGGGCAGTCGATCGGGGTTCAACGATGACGGGGGAACTTTGCGTGGAGGGTTGAACCGTGGTCGATGATGACGGGGCATTGTCGTGTGGAGGTGCAATCTCCGGAGTTGCGCAATCCTGTAAGAGTGCAGGCTTTAAACGTTCCACATTGACGTTTTCACGTTTACCATTAATGTCAATGGAGAAAAACTTGTCAGTACGGTAGAGAACTGGAAAGGGGCCTCTGTAGGGCGGTTCGAGGGGCTTCCTGACCACATCTTGGCGTATAAAGACATGGCTAGCAGAATGAAGGTCAGGATGAATCTGGGTACCAGCATGTTGTTGTCTGCGAGGAAGGGTGGGGCGTAGCTTACTCATCAGCTCTTCCAGTATATGTACATAATTCGATGGATCAATGTCTGTGTCTGGCCTCATTGGTTCTACGAATTGAGCAGGCAATATAATGCTTGTCGCAAACACCAATTCGTCTGAAGAGCATCCAATGGCGGACTTGACAGCTGTGCGTATCCCCAAAAGTACAAGGGGCAACACTTCAGTCCAGCGTACAGTGTTGAAAGTCGTGATCGAAGCTTTGAGCTGGCGGTGTGGACGTTCAACTATCCAATTTGAGGCATGATGATATGAAGTCGTCCGAATACGAGTTGTGCCTAGTAGATTGGTGAGGGCAAGGAAAAGTGCAGACTCGAACTGTCTTCCCCTGTCTGTAGTGATGGTTGCTGGTGTGCCAAAATTCGCCACCCATCTGGCCACAAAAGTCCGTGCTACCGTCTTGGCAGTAATGTCCAGGATCGGAATAGCTACTGGCCATCTGGCAAAGCCATCTACACAAGTCAAAAGATAGCTATTACCTTCAAAAGGAGAAAGTGGACCCACGAGGTCTATATGCACATCTGAGAATCGAGCATCTCGGGATGTGAACGAGCCCATAGGGACTCTGGTGTGTCGATGAACTTTACACTTCTAACACTCAAAACAGGTACGCGTCCAGTTCTTGATATTACGCTTGATTCCCAGCCGAACAAAACGCTCTGGTATCACCTTTTGTGTTGCTCTAGCACCAGGATGTGATAATCCGTGGAGTGAATTGAAATCGTTCTCCTATGCGAAACTGGCACTAGAGGCCTGGCACTTTCTGTGAAAATGTCACAAAGCAAAGTAGTGGGTGTGCCTGGAATTGGTATCGAATCAAGCTTGAGCAAAGTATCTGAGAAGTCGGCTAACTCCTCGCCATCCTTCTGCGATCGAGCTAAAGCAGCAAAATCGACGATGGAAGTTGAGTCGACGGCACTGATAGGTAGACGAGAGAGGGCGTCAGCTGCAGTGTTATGCTTACCCCTGATATGACGTATATCTGAGGAAAACTGCGAGAGGAGATCTAGGTGTCTAATCTCTCAGGGTGAGTGTCTGCTCGGGCCGCCTGCAAGGCGTAGATGAGAGGCTTGTGGTCAGTGAAAATGTGCTGTACCGAGTCTCTGCCAGCTGAAATCGCTTGGAAAAGAAAGCGAGTGGCTGTCAAGTGTTGTCCACTAACTGTTGAAGCAATCCACCATACCATAGTCTGATGAATCGACGAGGAAACAGAGAGGAACTCCAGATTGAGAGTGGACAAGGATAGAAGTGTCAGCCAAGTCCTGTTAAGCTCGATTTAATAGCTAAGGGCTCAGCCTCATTGGCCCGAATTCACAAAGGAGGTTTGTCGACAAACCTCCTTTTGTTTCGCCAAACCCCCTTTTGTTCCTTACAAACCAGGTTTGTAAGAAACGCGTAAAAACGCGTCATATGACGTACGAAAACCAAGATTTGTCGATCAATTTCCTTTGTGAATTCGGGCCATTGAGCGTGATAGACTCCTTCTTCCTGCCAGTCAGTCGATCCGTCAAAGGCTGGAGCACATCAGCACGGTGAGGAATAAAACGTCTGTAAAATTTGATGAGACCAAGCAATTCTCTCGATGTCCTGATTTGGGTAGGAGCAGGGGACTTCCGGATGTGTTCTACCTTGTCGATGAGGAGGTGGATACCGCGCAGATCTACGTGATGGCCTAAGAAGGTCAATGCCGATACACCAAACTGACACTTGGAAGTGTTGATGACGATGCCATTTTCACGAAGTCGATCAAAAAGTAGGCAGAGGTGTGCCTCATGTTCGTCATATGTAGTACTTGCAACGAGCAGGTTATCGAGGTACACAAAGACGAAAGGAAGACCACGAACTACTTCATCCATCAGCCTTTGGAAGGACTGAGCATCGTTTCGAAGTCGCATGCGGACCAACTCGAAAATTCTGAATGGAGTGGTTATCGCAGTCTTTGGAATATCACGCGGCTCTACCGGGATCTGGTGATAGGCACGAATTTAATCAATCTTAAGAGAAAATCGTCTTACCACTGAGGCAGGGTGACAAGTCCTGTAGGTGAGGTATAGGGTAACAGTCAGGATTCGTCCGAGAGTTGAGGGCGCGGTAATCACCACAAGGACGCCAGTCCCCTGGGGTCTTATTTGGGACCATATGTAGCGGAGATGCCCGATTACTGTCTCATTGACGAATAATGCCTAGGTCTAACATGTGGTCGAACTCATCCTTAGCTACTGCAAGACGATCAGGAGCTAGACGCCGAGGGCGAGCTGCAACAGGGGTACCTCTTGTCTGGATGTGATGGGCCCGGGTGATGGGTAGTTTCATCCTTCACATCGTCGTGCTTGTATACCGGGCGAGTAATGTCCTGGTAGCTGATAAGGAGAACGTGAAAACGGTCATCAGA